ATGTATGTATGTGTGTATGTATGTATGTATATATGTATGCATGTATGTACGGCACCGTTACGACCATCAAACACTGCTGCAAACTTAATATTACCTATTTTATTGTTTCTTAACGAATTGCTCAGTGGACTCAAAAACTGAGTTGCTGATGACTATGAACAAACTGCTAAATTTCATGATTAGGAACAAATACATATTCTCAGTTGTAAAAACTTCCGTAGTAGTCTTTTCTTCGCATGTAGACAAAAGATTTATAACCTTGAGTAGCAGACAGTGACATTTATTGCAACGTCATGTTACATTTTCAAGTGAAAGACATTCTTTGCCTGCCTTCCTTCCTTCCTTCCAGAACTGAACTACACTGGAGTGTACAAAGGGAATCTGGAAAACCTTCGCTATTCTCTACAACCTGCAACAGAACTTGTGGCATTACTTATGATATAAGCTGCAACAGATGATAAAACCCTACCTTCATGGCATCGCCGAATCTGCGCTTTCTAATTCAAGCAAAGAATCTGCTAACAAACAAGACAATTCACTAGCATAAATTAAAATTCTTGCTCGATTATTATTGTAATGCCTTTTTGTTGCATTCTGTGCGATCACAAAATTTTTGTTTATGATTTTGATCGAAATATCTGCAAATTTGGTGGGCCTTAAGGAAGGAATAAATCGCATTCCAACAGAATTTTAACTTTGAATGCTGCAAATACGGCAGCAATTCACAAATAACAGGGCTACAGTTAATTATAAAACTTAAAATTCATATTTGACAAGATCGGTGCTTTGGTGACCTGCAGAAATGTAAAGGAAGTGCAGACAGCTCATCGTATAAAGTTGGAGTGACTGTTGCCAGCTGAATTATTGTCAAACCTCGATTAACGCGATGAAGCGTTTACAACTTTGAAAAATTCAGAAATGCCAGAACGAGAAACTTGCACTTCCTGCATGATCGTTTTTACGACACTTTACCAGTCAATGCAAGTTTCGCACGCATCCGGTTTAGCGATTTCGCCAGGGGGCACAACCCTTCAAAAATAGTGCAGCACTCAATCGTGGTCCAGTTTCGCTGCGGTTTATTACGATGCATGCGGCTGGTTTGTCACGTAATAAAAAACTTTCTGGGTGCGGCCAGCAAAAGCGGTTTCTAGGTGCAGAGGGATAAGTGATAACAGGTATCGTCTTCCGTTGAGAGCAAGGGGAACAACGGTCTTCGTCACGTGTGACGTTGACTTGAGGGTGAACCACTCGGTACATCCTTCGCCTCATCTCCTGCGGCAAGGTTAGACAAAT